TTGCAGCAATGGAAGTTCAGATTAAACATTCAGAAAAACTTTCTGGTAAGAGTGAACAGTGTTGAGTGGATTAAATAGACAATTTGGATTCTGGGAAGGGAAGGACCAACAGAGGTTAGCTAATCTAATTGCTTTCTAACCTCTGAGCATCCATCAGCAAAGTGTCACTGCTGACAATCCCTCAACCTCCCCTAACATCATTTATTCAATAAGTAAAAACTTGATTATTGAAATTAGCAAGGACAATCTAATAACAGGACATTTCCCACACTAAGTACCCATCTCTCTGACTCGGGAAGAATGAAATGAAGTCAGACACCCTCTTGGTCAAAACCCAACCATCATTTCTCACCATGTTCTTCAGAAGTGCTTATAAAAGTAGTTCATGAAAGAGTAAGAACAAAAAGAACCTCTCCCAAAGTGGGTAACCCCACTTATCCAAAACAGTGCTACAAAGCACAGATGAATGGCACCACCAAAGGCCTCTATTTTCAAGAATTTGTGTATTCCAGAAGATTTACATGTAAACTATATCAGAATTAACACAACATTTTTAGTTAAACTCTTATATAAAGACTGACTAATTTGATTCTATACAAGTATCCTGAGAACATAGATTTTATTAAACACCACATCTTCACTAAAGAATTGAGGAAAAAAACAGGTCTAAAATCACACTGTACCAAGTGCTATGTTTTTACTTTTCATCATTTATGGACTGTCATTGCACATAGAAAAATTTTGTGGATTAATCTGCATGCATTTTATAAGACTATTTCATAAATAGTAAATATTTTTTATTTATTCTGACAAAAAGAGTATCGTTTTAAGCATTGTCCATTCCATTGGAATGATGAACTGCTCTTAAAAATTAATTAAAGCTACAGTGTCAGCCAAAATTATATGGAAGCAGCCAAGTGATTGGTGTTGGAGGTGATGAAAACCTATAGGGTATAGTTTAATTCATAGCTTTCATTCTCTACATTTTTTTCCCACCTACACAGGAGGGAAAAAAATATCAACCATTGTGGAGTTTTAATCTCAGTCTAAAAATATATGTTTTAACTAATTGATCATCTCAGCAATAAGGTATCTTTTTCTACTATTTTTGACTATTAATTCTAGCATGTCTAGAATTACCATTACATTGATAGATACATAAATGCAGGGATTCATGCATACACATATACATACATAGAAACACAGTATTTTAATAAATCTGCTCCAGACATAAACCACTCCTTTGTCTTACAAAGTCTTGCAGTTGACCTTATGAAGTCTTTCAGTTAAAACCTTCAGTATCCAAAATATGTCAATTGAAGCAAAATTTATTAAAGCTCATCAGTTAAATAATCAGTAATTTATTCTGTTTTCTTGTAGATGCTTGTCTTTGAAGTCAAACAGTATTTAACCACACTGTATTTTTTAGTTTCCTGATGAGTTTTGAACAGAAATTATGTGAAGGTCTGCTTGTCTTCATTTTGACTCACTTAAAAGGCAGAAGACTTTTGCAGCCTCTCTCAGGCAAAGACCATTTTAAATGCAACTTTTGCTGTGCTAACTGGAGCTTGAAGCTCAGAGAGGGATCATACTTTCAGTTTGAGAAATGAGAGGATTGAAATGTAATATCTAAATGGGTTTTTTAAAAATCTTTTATAATTAATTGTTGCAGTTTGAGAACTGAAGTTCTGTATTTAAAAAAACCCAAACCACTGTGTATCAGGTGGAACCCTCCTAACAGCTGAAGTTTTTCCCTGTTTGGTGCCTATTCAATTCAGACCTTGAAGTTAGTGGTAGGAGGATTGGGATCACGGTTTCCTGGCTTGTTTGCCTGTAATTTGTACACCCTGGGACAAGATTTTTGTGCATCAGATGTCTATTCAACCCAAGCAGCTGTTGCAAAGGGCTCAGTCATTCAAGCCCATGGTGATATGTCCCTGTAACTTGTGAAGAAGTGGCAGGAGGCTGCCCAGGAGATCATGATCAGCCTGGCACAGGATATTGGTTACAGAAAAGAAATTAGATGCGTGAACCTCCCCACCCATGCCTCTTGCTCCACTGTTCTTTTAAAAGCTGGCTGACTTGTAAGGATTCACAGAAGACCATCTGTTGAGTTTTCCCAAGCAAACCTAATTTGTATTTATTTATTTTAGAGAGTAAAGACACGCTCCAGCCTTTTGAAAGCTCATTTAGCACCAACAGCTAGAAGATACAGTTTAGTATACATTATTCAAGATATCCAATATGTTGACTAAGATTTTTAGACAAATTCCATTTGGACAGACACGACAGACCCTACATTCTTCTCTCTGCCATTATTTCAACTTCCTCTCTTGTAATGAGGTACACAATATTTCTTTTCATGCTCTTCAAACAGAAGGACAGAATACATAAAGTATTTACCAGATATAGAAATTAAATAAGCAGCATGAAAAGTATTCCACTTCCACTTTGAAATTCTGGCCCAGCTTAGATAGGTAATAACACTACTGCAAGAGAGACATCATTCTGTAATGTTACATGTATATGGAAAACCCCATCATTCTGTAATGTTACATGTATATGGAAAAAACTGTCTGTAGAGAAGATGAATCAAAATGCATCTGGAGTCAATAGCACACTCTCAGCATGAAAGCAAAGATGAAATTTGTCCTTTCATACTCAAAAGAAATAGAAGGCAAGGGAATTTACATTTCCAGTATATTGGCAATCACCCAACTTCAAGAAAGCCTGCTTTCCTTTCATCTCTATTCCCATGCACCTGCCTGATCAGGGAGGGCTGGGCACTCACCCTGGATATGTCCATACCTGGTGCTACACCTTCAGGACACCAGCACAAATCCCTGAAGAGCTGGCATACATGGTTGGGTTTATAAAAGGGCTGCCTGCTACCTCTGGCTGCTCCAGTCCTAGCACTGCTCATCTGTGCTGTCCAAATATTCTTCTAACAGCATAACACTCCTGCAAATATTTCTCCTAAGAAAATGAGCTACAAATTTCAGGCCAAGTGCTGCATTAATCATGGTTTAATCATTTCCCTTGAGTATGCTTTCCATAATGTGTGAGTAGTTCTTGCAGAATCACTGATAAAGGAACTTAGTTAATAAGGAAAAGATTCAGCTGTGAGATTCACAGGTCTGGCTACCTGTTTTTCTTGCTAAGCCACCTCTTTTGACATGTATTTTTCTTTTTTCTTGACAGCTGTCTCATTTTTCTTTTGACATTCTCTTTTCTTTCTCATCTCCTCTTATTTACTTATCTACTCCTTTCCCTTTCCCCTAGTTCATACATTTTTGTATTACACTTGGTTTTCTTTGAAGATGTGCAGAAGATAAACGCATTTGAAATTCGGGTCTCAAGGGGAAAGACCCTGAGGCACAACCATCTTGTAACTCCTCATGGTCTGGGTGGCCTTAGATGCTTGTGTCCTCTGATGAAGTCTGATTTTTAAAAGCAATACTGACAGTGCCCACTGAAGCTAAGTATAACTGAAATCCACTTTTTTTATTCTATCAAGGTTAGCAATAGCCAATGGAGCCTCTCTGTTCTAAAAATTTTTGGCTTTCTATTATCTTGGTCATATTCTCATTCTATTTAAGAGTAAGAAGGATGGTGATTTCACTGCAGCAGTGTAGGAGCTACAGTTGTGTGTGTTGAAGCAGCTGTACAGCACAGCCAAAGATGTAGTCGTGGCTCCTGGGCAGGTGTCAGCCAGGTTCCACGTGAAGGGCCTGGGAACTCTGAATTTGCTTATGATTAGAAGCATTTTGCTGCGTTTAGAGAGAGCGGCTACCATTAAAGCCATGTTCTTTATCCATCTCTCGGAAGAACAGAACCACGCTTTTGCCCAAACTGTTATAATAGCTTTCACTAAAAGGCAATTAATTTTTTCAGCACCAAGAATTTGGTACTCCCAGCCCGGTGCTCCTCCGCGGGAGTGGGGCGGGCAGCGCTCTCGGGCCGCCCGGCGGGCGCGGCGCGGCAGGCGGGAGCTGTCCGGTCAGCACCTGCGGCTGCTCCTCGACCGGCCAAACCTCACCGCGGCTCGCTCTGCCGGGTTACCGAGGCCGCCCGGCCCGGCTGTGCAGCCGCGGCCAGGGTCGGGGCGGACACACCGATGCTGCCTCCCGAAGGCCCGCACCGCTCCGGCAGCGAGCGCGCCTGCCGCCCCGGGGTTCGGGGCTCGGGCCAGCAGCGCCCTGGGGCCAACAGGGCCAGTGGGATCCTGGGGTGCTTTAGGAACAGCACTGCCAGGGTCAGGGAGGTGATCCTGCCCCTCCACCCAGCCCCAGTGAGATGAGTGTATCTGGAGTGCTGCGTCCAGTTCTGGGCTCCTCAGGAAAAGAGAGACCTGGAGATCCTGGAGTGGGTCAGTGAATGGCAACAAATATGATAAGGGACTGGAGCACCTCTCTAACAAAGAAAAGATGAGGAAGTTGGGCCTGTTCAGCGTCTACAAGAGATGACTGAGAGGGAACCTCATTAATGTGTATAAAAATACACATTAATATATAAAGGGGGGACGTCAAGAGGACGGAGCCTTTTGGAGGCTCCTCTCGGGGTTGCCAGGCTCAGGACAAGAGGCAGCAGGCAGAAACTGATGCACAGGAACTTCCACATGAACATGAGGAAGAACTTCTTCACTGTGCAGGTGACCGCTCAGTGGAACAGATTGCCCAGAGAAGTTGTGCAGTCTCCCTCACTGGAGATGCTCAAGAACCTTCTGGACGCAGTGCTGTGCCATGTGCTGTGGGACGGCCCTGCTGGAGCCGGGATGTCCCAGCCGGTGCTCCCCGGTGTCCCGGGTCCCCTCCAGCCGGGCCCATTCCGGACCCCGAGACTCGCGGGGGCGGGGCCCGCCCAAGGAGCCGCCGTGGGCAGCGCGCGGTGGCGCGGCGGGGCAGCAGCCAACCAGGAGCCCGCATGCAAATAAGCCGGCCCCGCCCCCGCGCGCGCAGAGCTGGGCGGGGCCGCCGGTTGCCGTGGCGACGCGAGCGGCCGAGCCCCCGGGCGGCTCCCGGGGAGACCCCCCGCGCCGGGCGGGCCCGGGCGGCGGCCATGCCAGTGCGTGCGGCCGGTGCTGAGTCAGGAAGAGGCATCCCCAAATCCCCCTCCGAGACCATGGAGGAGCTGGAACACACCTGCCCACAGCCGCGCCTGGTGAGTCGGGCCCGGCCGCGGCCCGCCCCGGGTGCTGCGGGGCCGCTGGGCCGGGGGCGATGGAGGGAGCCCGCGGGCGGCCGGTGCCGCCTCGGCGGGCCCCTTTGTGCAGCGCCAGGGAAAGGGCGAGCGAAGGCTGTCCGAGGCGGGCTGTGCCGTGCCGTGCCCTGCAAGAACCCGGGGCAGTGCGGTGACAGCCAGGCGGGATCCCTGGTCCGCCCGTTAAAAACCCGGATCCCCCGCGCTCCCGACAGGTCCGGGCGCGCCCGGGCACCGGCGCGGCTGCCACATGTGTGCGGGTGGCGGGAGCGGCGGCGGGAGGCGTGCGATGGCCAAGCCGTGTTGCCGTCCCAAAAGCTGCCTGTTCCCAGTAGTGAATGCAGAGGAGCGGCCCGCGCTCCAAGGAGCCGGCGGCGCGGAGCGATGGCCGGTCCCAGCGTCTCCGGTGCCGCTCCCGCCGGGAATGGCAGCCCCCGGGGGCTCCTCAGTGACCGCTCGGCCCCACGCTGCCCTGAGGGCCGGGCCTCGGGCGGGTTACTGCGCTTAGGAACGGCAAATCCCGCTTTTCTCAACTTTAAGAGTCCGGTGAGGAGTTGCCGGTTCGATTCAGGATGTGTAAGGAAGAAGAGAGTCTCGGAGAGCTGCGGTTTTTGCGGGGACAGGAGAATGAGGGATGGCCGGGAGAGTGATTCTTAAAATAACTCCTCTGAGTCGTTGCTTAAAGACTCCCTTAGACCGTGTAGGCAACTTTACAAGGCTGCTGTACCCCAAGAGTTCAGGTTCTGGAGCTGTCCTTCTTTTCATGTGCTCATTTAAAATTTCGAGTGTTTCCTTGCTTCTTATTTAAATCTGTTATTATTCCCAGCAGGAAAGATCTCTCCTTACCTCAGCATGGTATGCATCATTGGCAAGGTGGTAGAAAGTTAATAGCAGCTCTACATAAATGCAATCACAGAATTGTGGAGGCAGTATCAAGATGTGAGAATGCATGATGTATGCAACAGTTTAGTACTGGAAATTAGATCACTTAACACCAGAATTCAGTCCCGATGCTAATTAAAACATATTTAAACATCAAACTTCAGTAATTAAATTTAACACTATAGTTGAGACATTGTTCTGGTATGACAAGAAATAGCAGCAGTCATTGGAGCTGACCTAAATTAATGTTTTCTTCTTGCTCATGTTATAATTAGATTCAGCTTTAAAGAAGACTGTTAATTTGTTCATGGAAAGCTTTTGGAGCTGTTTTAATAGGGAAAGTTAGCTCAGATGTAGTTACTGCAGTGTGTTCGTAGAGGCTGTTTAAGATTTCTCTGTCAAAAGCTCACCTATAACCTGTTTGAATTGGTTGTAGTCTGACATTTTAAAAGATTTTAAAGAAAGGAGTGACAATATGATACCAGTATTTACAGTATCATGCATTCTTGTATAATTTCTGCGGAAATTATGGTGACAGTTAGAGTACATGCATGAAACAGGAATTGATTGTGATGTTTTGTATCTTTCTGAGTACCAATAATGGACAATAGAGACGTTTAAAATAAATTTTTGTGGAAAGTATGTCCTTATGAAGTGATACCTCATCAGTCATCAGATCTGTGTTATCTTCAGGCTAAAAAAAAGGTTGCCTGGTGAAATATAATGCAATACACTGAACTCAGAGCGTAGGGAGTGGGGCCAGCAAGTGTAGTCAAGCAGTGTGTGAAGTGAGAAAAATTAAGGGTGGGTGTTCTGAAGAGTTTAAGTGAATCAGCCCTGGACAGACAGTCTAATAACATGGGCATCGAGTTCCTGTGAGATCTTTTTTAAGATCTTCAGTACTTGATCTGGTCTCATCCTTTGAAGGCAGCATGTGCAGTGGTGGGCCAGTAGCCTTGTCACCTAGATTATTAGTGTAAAGGAAAAAGGGTGTCTCAGGTAACACTTTAATATTGCTTGGACCTCAGGATGGCTCTGGTACTTCAGAATTATATAACTGGTGGCAAGTCTGTGATACTTACAGATGACTTCGTAATGCTGTTCATTGGTTCTCACACATCTCTAAAATTAATTATCTGGGCTTTCAGGTTATATATGGGCTAAGTTGTAGGAAGCAGTTTTTCTTGGGAAATCACCTAAAATTTTAGAAGGTGAAAAGGGGTTGGTTCTTTTCTGAAACTGTTGTCATCCTTTCCATTTGAAACAGGAATTAGTTCTTTAAAGCTGTAAAACTGTGAATATTTTTATGGATATCTGCCATTAGACTTCTGATTTTAGGCTGTGAAGTCTGCTAGCTTGTCAGGAGCTGTCATATTAGCACTAAAGAACCTGTGTCCTTCAAAGATCAGGAAATCAGGGGACATTGAAGGCAGTTCTAGGGTAAGTTTCAATGTGCATTGAAACCTGATGTTTTCCAGTGCCTGGTACTGTTGTCATTATAAATTGCCATTAATTTTTTCCCAAGACACTCTGTGCATTTTCTTAACCAGCTGGAGCATTAATGAGCATTTGTGTTGTTTCAGTCAATTCCTCTGCTCCATCTCTGACTTGATCTTTGCCTTCTTTATGTTGTCAACTTCTGTGTATCTTAATGCCAGGAAAATGTCTCTCTGAGTGAGCCACAGGTCTCGGTCTCCATGCACAGCAGAGAAACAAACCCATCAGAGTCACAGGTTTTATCCATAGTGGTGATTTTAGGAGTTTTGTGGTCAAGAAAAAACCCCTCACAAATAGCATTTCTCCAATCCTGGTTTGCATCCTTTTGCATTTATCCCTTTTCTCATCTGGACCAAACTGCTATGTTAGGCCATGTTCTCATCTTCTGCAGTCCCACTGATATTTTTAATTCTCGGAATACCCCTGGTCATGGGGGCCTTCACTGTTTTCAGTGGGATAAACATGACCCCTGGTCATATCATGCCACAGATTCATGGCATGGCAGTTGTCCCTGGATAACTTTCAGTAAGCTGCAGAGTGCAGCTGGGCTGTGGATCTCAGCCTGGGAATCCTGCCCTTAGGGTTTGCCCGCGTGCATCAGTACAAAAAATGAAAGCTCTTAGTTTAACTAAGAGATACCATAGCAGGAAATACCAAAGAGGAAATACAAAACCTTGTGAAATTAAATTATAACAAATAAGCAAATATTTATGTCACTTGGGATCAAGAGTTTCACTTTGGTCCCGTGTGTGTAGCTCCTTGAAGGATTGGTGCCTCCTTTGAAAATTACCAATCCTCACGTGAAAGAAACAAAGAGGCATTTCAACACCCTTTCAGGAAGACAGTTCCATGCGACATCTTTCATAAAAGAAAACAATGGCAATTTATAAGGACAGTGATGCAGATAAAGCAAACCCAAATACACATTGAAACTTACTTGAAAACAAATGTCAGAATGTACTGCTTGGTCTCATCTTTCCCTTGAACACACTGAGAGCTTCTTTTCCTTGTATTTCATGTCTCTTCTTCCAACACAGGCATCATTGGAAACATGTGATAAAGAACTCTTAGGACATTGGAACCCATGTCTTATTTTCAAAACTGTCAGAGCCTAACTGAGGGTTAGGTAAGGTGAGGGAATGCAGGGCAATGCAACATACATTTCCATCAGAGTACTTAATTTAAGAAACCAGTTAAGCAGAGACCTACCTGAATTCGCTGGGGTGAATTACAGGGGAGGAGAGGGAGCAGATGGTATGTGGCTGGTTTGGTCTGTGCTCACAGGCACATCAGTAGGTAGAGGGCAAGGCAGGAGGAATTAAGCAGCAGTTTTCATTAATTTAAAGTGAATCTATCTTTAAGGTGATGTAAAAAAGCAGGTTAGTGCTTTTTGTGCTGTCTGCTCTGCCCTAGGCAGTGCTATCCCCGAAATACTGGGCTGTTCAAGGGTATGAGACATCCGTACTACCCTTGGATGTCTGTTCTCAGGCAGCTAAAGCTGTAGCCAGGTGTCATTTCTTGTACAGGAAGTGGCACTGGGGCCCTGTGTGGAAGTACCCAAATAGTTTATTGGGGGCTTTTTTCCATCATCATTGCAAGGACAGACTCGCTGGGTACTTCATCTATCCATATGGCAGATGAAACGTGTTCTGCCAAGGCACTTCAAGTGTCACGGCCACTTGAGGTTCACCCTTGCAATCCCAGCACTGCTCCGAAGCCCACATTTACGTCTGTCGTGTTGGGAGATCAGAGGCTACAGGCTTTTTACAGGTCAATAGGAATTAGGTATTAAGTATCTTGGGGCCACTGAATCTACAGTACTTAGAGAATGAGACTCTAAGTACAACTGAATGTGACAGATCTCACATAATTTTAGGTATCAGCTTCTTCAGCCATTTTGTTTATTTTCTTGATTTTTTAGAAAAAATGAGAATACATAAATTCAATTTTTTTCCAATTATTCAAGTACATTTGGAAAACACAGGTTTTTTTTATTTTATTTTATTGAAGAGAAGAGGAGAACATTTTAGTGTTTGCACACACTGGAGCTGTATAATGGTCCAAGGAGTCTCTCTTCCTCTTTAGACAATTTCTTGTTGCTGCTGTTGAGCAATGAACTCAAACACAAAATGTGAAATAATTGCAAGGAAAGTGTGCATGCCTTGGATTCCTATATTTTTATCCCTTCATATTTACAAAGAAAATTTTAAGATGTTCTCGTGCAATCCCTAGAATCATTTCAGTGTTTTATTTCCATGAATTTTCATAGATCTTCATGTTCATCTTTCCTATATCACTGGAAGGCAATTTTAATCAGAGGAGCCAATGATTAATGCAGGGGAAGTTTATTGTGGTTAAAAAGTGTCCCGTGCTTCTGTCTCTCTCTCACGTGATATTATGACAGGGGGTCTGCCATCTGTTTACTTCAATGTGGAATAAGCATAAATAAATATTTAAATAGCTTTACATTTAAGGAACCCAAAATTGCTTTATTTGACTAAATATTTGTTTTGTCCTTTAGAAGTTTGGGTTTTGCTCTGGATTAATTTTCATTTTTATAAATATTGGGTAGTATATAAAAC